TGTCAGGAAGACCTGGATTCCAATACTGCCTCTGATACTTAATAGCTGTATGACCCTGAGCAAAGCACTTAAATACTCTAGAGGTGCCTCAGTTTCCTCATCTGTAAAATGAGGGGGTCGGACTCTCATTTCAGTAACAAACTGATAATCCTGTAAGTTTGGGATTTACTTGTTTAATTTGAGGTGCCAGGTGTAGGGGCAGCTAGGTGGCGCAGTGGATAGAGCTCCTTGGAGTCAGGAAGATCTAAGTTCAAATCTGTCCTCAGACACATAACACTTACTAGCTGTGTGACCCTGGGCAAGTCACTTAACCCCATTGTCTAAAAAAATAAAAACAAAAAAGAGATATCTAGGCGTAGATGTTGAGCTAGCAGTTGAAAATCTGGGACTTGAGTTTAGGGCAGAGACTAAAATTGGATATGTAAATCTGGTCCTCATATGAACTCAAGTGCACATAATTCTCTTGCCAAGGGAGAAAAAAAGACCAAGGATAGAGCCTCGGGGGACAACCATGGTTTGGAAAGAAGAGAAAGAGAATGAATCAGGGGAGGAAACTGAAAATGAGTGGAACAAAGGAGGAGAACTAGAAGAGCAAAGCCGCTGAGAAACCGAAGGAAGAGAGTATCCAAGAGGAAGAGGTAATTAGCTCTGTAGCCAACTGCTATGGGAAGGCCAAGGATAACGGAGTGAGAGGAGGATGTTGGATTTAGTATTTAAGAGATTATTCAGCTTCTCCACATGGTGGAGGGGTGGGGGCCCAGCAGCCACATTGGGACACCCCTGGCAATGGCGCCCCTGGACATCTGGCAGCCCCCCCCCCGTCTAGGCAAGCGGGGGGGGGCCTGATGGGTGGGGCCGGGTATCACCCAGATGCAGTACATCCTGCCCACCCTGCCCGAGCAGCTGCAAGTCATCCCAGCCCCAGCAGTATGGAGCTGGGGGAGGGGGAGGTGGCAGTGTCAGGTCCCATGACTAGCATTCCCTGAGCCCTACCACCAGGAATTACCACCAATGGGAAGGTCCTGGCACCAGCCACCCCAGCTCCTAGGCTGCGCCCTCTGCTGCACCCCCCAAAGTCCAGTCAGTGTGTCTCCAGGGCAAGGCCAGCCTTCAGCAGGTCTGCCCAGCTGCTGCCTGGGAGGGTCTAGGTACCTTTGGCAGTACCTAGCAAGGCAGTACAAGGTGGGGGAAGCCAGTAAGCCTCTACCCTTGGGGTATTTTGATGAAGACAGCATGGACAAATTTCATATCATCAGATTCTGATGAAACCTCAATGAGTTTAAGTTCAGATGACTATCCTAAGTAAAAAAAAAAAGTACAAAGGGAAGAAAAATACAAACTCAAGTGGAAATAAGGATGTAAAAGTAACTAAAGTATGGAATTCAAGATACAAAAGTGGTAGTGAAGGAAATAAGGTTGAGCTGGCCAGTAATTCATCTGTGACCCTAAAGGAAGAAAACCATTTTCCCCATTATCGTTGGGAAGAACTTCAGATATATTTATCGTAGAGTCACACAGTTTAAAGATACTGAAGGATTGATTTTTCACAATATCTGAAAGAGGGAAAAATACCAAATGCTATGGACTTTATTATTACTGAAAAGAGGTTGCCAAGAATGCATCAACAACTGCTGGCCCACTTTTTTTCTCAGCTGAACAAAACCTTTATGAGAGTAATCTACATACATTGAAGCTATCCTTGGTAATGGTATGGGAAGGAAATGGGCCATCTGCAAACATATTCAATTACAGATCTCATGTTTTTTGTCACATGAATAAAATAGAAGTTGTAGTAATGGTTTAATGAAAAAAAAGAATATTTGATTCAGTAAAGCATACTGCAGCTTTGAAGACTGATCCAACAAGGAATCTTTCTTGTATGTTACTATAATACAAGGCTTATTGATAGATCTGACAACAAAAATAAATCTCTATGGTCTTTCCTATTAGTCAACATATAAAGCGAATGAATGTTTCTCAAGTGTTTGCCTCTGTCTTAGAGGCTATCCAGCAGGGAGTCCACATGGAAAAGGGATTTCCTTATAAGATCTTTCAGATTTGCCTTTTTGTAAGTGACATTGAGCTCATTACATCAAGCCCCAAAACATTTCAGAGCCGCCTAAATGAGATCTATGTTTACTGAAGAGTTTGGCTTAACCATCCACGGGAAAAATCTAGTAGATGAATATTTTAAACTAAACAATTGGATAGACATCACACCGAGTATATCCATTAGCACTTATATCTGAGACAGATACTGGATGGACAATGAACTGGGCATAGATTTGAAGAGTAAGAAAGGAAAGTGATGTGATTTTTGCCCTTTGGAAATTGTATAGTGTAATGATGACAGTCTCCTCCATGGGTTAAATGCCTATTTTTTCAACATGAGTATACTTTTGCTATAAAAAAAGAGAGAAATTATTCAGAGAGGAATTTCAATAGAGAGGGGCTACATAAAAAGTCAGATTGCAAAGGGGTTGAGGAGTGAATGAATGGTGAGGACAGAAGAGGTAGTAGGTATCATTACTCTTTCCAGGAGTTTATCAATGGAAGCTGAGAGATATAGGACAATAGCATGAGGGGATAGCAGGAAGATTTTCCAATTACAGGGAGTCGTGACTTCATTGAACAAAGAATGGAAATGACCTGGAGGCTGATAGAGAAAAGCAAGAAGGATTCAAAAGGGTGATCTAATTGGATGGTGTGGACCACAAGAGGAAACACTGCTGAATGGTTTTGGCAAAGATAGTATCTGGAAGTGTCAGTAGGTAGTGAGGAGTATGCTAGTTGGCCTTGTGTCTTGTGGAGAGTAGGGAGAGAAGCAACTAGCACCAGAGAAAGTGACAAAGACATTGTCTTCAGGGAAAAGCTTGGTTTCAGTAACTTCTATGTATTGTTTCTAGTTCAAAGGATTGGATGATTTAGAGCTTAAAACACCCTTAGAGATCATATTCATTTTATAGCTGAGAAAATCGAAACCCAGAGAAGTGATGTGCTCAAAATCCTCTGATTTTGATGGGCCTTTTTCACCCAAGATACCATGCTAATTCTCTTCTGGGGCTAAGAAAACCAATTCTAATTCCTCTTTCTCATGACAGTTCTTCAGATTGTTAAAGATGGGAGCTGTGTCTCACATCTTTTCTTTTCCTGGCAAAGTAGCCTTGGAATCTTGGGGCCATATTTAGTTCACCCTATTCTTTATTATGTCTTTCCCCACATCCAGTTGGTCACCTAATTCTGTTGTTTCACCCTTTGAAATGCCACCTCTCCACCCTTTCTTTCTATCCTTTCTACCCCTACCTTTGTCCAAGCATTCATTATCAGACTTGTAGCAGATCTAGGCTAGGAACATTGTGGGCCTTGGCTGAATGGGTTTCCATGGAGCTAGTCAAAGCTTTCTAGTTTGGGAAGAACAAAGGAAGGGCTACAGTTGGAGAGCTCTCATGTAGGCAGGAGCTAGAAAAATCTTTTAAAAAAAGTCAGAGTTGTTAATCAGGAGATGAGTCATGGAACTGAAGGAACAGAGGCAGGAAACAGTATTGGTAGAACAAGTAGAATTAAATCAACAACAATCAATCAACAAGTATCTGTTAATCTCTGACTACGTGAGAGGACAAGCAAGAATTGAGATCCAGAGTCGGGCTACAGGAGTCCAGTGGTGAGGTACACAAGGCTGATGGTTAAACTTGGCGCCATTATGTCCATTTGCTCCACCACATGTTCTGTGGCCACGTGAATACTCTGCTCCACTCCTCAACTTTCTCTGAATTCAGTCTAGGTGGACATTTTGACTGCTGAGCATAAAGGGAGAACATCACAGCCCTTACTTCTCCCCGTGGTAATGGCCACTTCTAGATGTTGGAAAATAGCTGCCTTAAGGCTTCTTCCTACCCTACCTCCCATCTTTCTTGAGCACCTTCCCTGAATTCATCCTCCTTGAACATTGCCCTGCAGATGGGATCAAAAGGACTTGAGAACTGTCTTCAAATGTCTGAAGGGTGATCCTGAGAAACCAGGATTTGATTTGTTCTGTTTGGCCCCAGAGGACAACACTAGGAGCAAGGGGGGTGGAGGTGGGGAAAGAACCTGGAGTTCAGAAGAGGCAGATTTTGGCTCAATGTAAGGAAAAACCTCGTGTTAATTGCTGTCCAAAAGTGAAGTAGGAGAGGCAGTGTGGTTTAGTGGAAAGTATATTGGATCTGGGGTCACAGGACCTGGGTTAAAATCTCACTTTGGTTACTTACCACTTGTATGAATTTTGGAAAGTCAATTAACTTCCCTCAGCCTCAGTTTCTTCATCTGTAAAATGAAGGGTGTTGGTTGTCTTCTGAGCTCCTTTCTAATGCTGTATCTATAGTCCTAGGCTCCAAGATTACAAAACTTCAGGGGGTAGTGATGTCCCTGTCACTGAAACAGATGCTCCATGGGATTTAAGCAGGAATTGGACCAGATTAGTTCTGAAATCACTTCTAGCCCTGGAATTCTATGACTCTAGGGCTAATTCTGCATTTCTCCCATACTTTCTCCTTGGTAAAGATGCAAAATATGTCCATGGATACAGGAACTGCGTTGTATGTGATTGGATCAGTTCCTTGTCCCAAGGATACGACCCCCACCCCCTCACCTCTGGAGGGCATCACCTTCACTCATCCTTCCATCTCTACCTCTTCATCTTTACAACACCCCTCCCTCCATTGGCTGTGTGACCTTGTTTTCTTGAGCCCAGTTCTGAATAGCTTCTTTCACGTCAGTGGGAGGAACCTGACCCCTGCAAAAGAGGAAAATTTTGTTTGGAAAGGCCCAGAGTCAAGATTTGATTTGCCTTTGAAATGGGGCACTCTCATCTCCCAGGTCCCCCTTGGCCACTGGAGGCCTCTCACCACTTCCCTCCCCTTCTCCTACATAGAGGCCAGAAAGGGGAGAGTGGGGAATCTTTCTCCAGACTAGGGCAGCCTTTGCCACATCAGCACCTCAGCTCCTACTGTCCCCCTCCCACCATGAACCCCAGGGGTATCTGCTTCTTGGCCTTTGTCCTGTTCTTCAGTGTGGTCTCAGGTACGGATAAGCCTATTCCACCTTCCCATCTCTACCCCTTCCCATTATCCTTCCCTGGTACATGACTGGGCGAGAGTCCCCTCTGCCTCTCCCCTCCAAGATATCTTGTGGATTCTCTAAGGGCAGAGCCCGTCAATGCTGGGGCCTGAACAGGGAGTGAGCCTTGGGTTTCTTAAGCTTGAGCCCAAACTCCATCACTGACTTTGTGCAGAAAGAGATGTTGGGGAGTCATCAAGTCTATCTTTTTGCCTCTGGGTGTGGTGTGATATGTTGTAAAGAATCTTGGCTTTGGAATTAGGAAAGTGAGCTCTGACATTCACTAGCTATTTGACCTTGGGCAAATGATTCAACCTTGCTGAGTCTCAGTTACCTTATCAATAAAATAGGTATAATAATCCTTGTAGTACCTACTTTGTAGGCTCCGTGACAGAAAAGCACTTTGGATACCTTGAAACACTATAGACATGTGGGCTATCTTTATTATTATTGCTATCCTAGAAAGGGTTTAGTGTTTTGTGCTCTCCCAATAAGAGTATTGGTCTTTGGTCTGGAGCTGAGTGATTTGGTTAACATGCCTAGTAATTCATTCCAATTTCATGTTATGGCTACCATGAGAGCCACTCTAAATCTTTTTGAGGGACTCCTACTTTGCTTTGCCAGGTTACCGCCTGGGTTTCCCCTAATTAGAAGGGACAAGGGGGAGACATGCTAACCTCATAATGGCTTCTGAGAAGGGAAGGAGATAGAGGATGGAGAGAAACAAAGGGAATCCTCGAGGAATGGGTGTTAGAAAGATGGAAGGCATGGAGGGGTGAAGAGGGTGCCAAATTCAACCTCCATCTACCCCCCAAAGCTGCTTGGGTCCAGTCTAGCAGTGTTGAATGAGGCTCAGCTTGGGAAACAGTTACCTTACTGCCTTCTGACAGCTGGAGGCTGTAATCTGCCCTGTGATTATCCCTAGACAGCCCCTCCCTTGGCATTACCAGGTAAGACCTGCCAGGGGGCAGGGAAGAAGGCAGTATCCTCCAGGTAGGACCTCATGAATAACAGTATGTAGACAGCAACTTGTAATTATCTTTTAGCTACCAGTACTTTAAGCATTAAGGATCTCACTAACATCCCCTTTCCCACATCCCTGTTAAGTAGTCTACCGATAAAGCCTCTGGTTGAACACCTCAGAGCAGAATCTCTTTCAAAGCTGCTCTTGCTGACCAATCCTTTCTGGGATTCTTTTCCTTCTCTGAGTGATAACTGCTCTGTGGTAGAAAGAGCTCTGGACTTAGAGTCAGAAGACCAGAGTTTGAATCCTAGCAATAACCCTCTCTATTTATGTAATCTTGGATAAAGTGCTTTATCTGACCCTTAATTTCTTTAACTGTAATGCAGATTTAATAATATTTATGTGTTATCTATCACTCATTAATGAGTGCTGAGCCACTCATTAGCTTCCTCCAGCAGGCTGACTTGTTCTGAGGAATAAAATAGATAATGAGTATAAAATGCTTTGTAAGACCAAAAACAACATGTAAATAAAGGGTAGCCAATACAATCCAACAAGCATATATTAAGCACCTACTATATGCAAGGCACTATGCTAGATGCTGGAGATATAACATGAAAAACAGTACCACCTTCAAAGACTACTTTTCTTGTAGTGGCCTGTATCTACCTCCCTTCAGAAGCTAAAAAAGGAAGAGATTAGAGATGTTTCCTAGGTCCATGGAATACAATAACTAAATAGGTACTGGGAAGGTGTCTAAAGAGGTGAATGGAAATCAGGAATCTTTCTCCCTGCCTTTTATAAGCAGGTAACCTGAAACCCAGAGGGAAAAAAATGGACAGAATCTGAGGAATGAATACTATGGTAGTGTGGGCCAAGTTGAAGGCTTCAGGAGAGAGGAAAGGGTTATTGTGGCGAGTTCAGGATCTAGCAAATAATTTGCTACTTATGTGACTTTGGTCAAGTCCCTCAACCTTTCTGGGCCTCAGTTTCCCCAGCAGCAAAGTGAAGGAATTGAACTAGGTAGGGTTTACCATTCCCTTCAAGTCTTAGTTTTTTGATCCCAAAGATATTATCAAGAATGGGAGGATTTTAAGAAAGTAATTTTGAAGTCAGTCTCTGCTTCTGACAATGATGATCAAAATCCTGCCTTTCTTGGTGATGGACCCAGGGTACAGAATGAGACATACATTTTCTTTTGGACACGAAAGACCAATGCAGACTTGACTGGGCAAATATGTTCCAAAGATTTTGTTTTTGTTTTTTCTTAGTGAGGGGTAAGGAAGGTGGGAGGGGAAGAAAATAGATTTTAGTAAATATAAAAAAATTTAAAAACTAACAAAAAGTCTTTGTTCCCCCTCTTTCTCCTCCTCCTCTTTCTTTTTCTTCTTCTTCTGCTTTTCTTTTCTTTTATTTCTTCTCCTCCTCTTCCTCCTTTTTCTTCTTCTTCTTCTTCTTTTCTTTTCTTTCTTCTCCTCCTCCTCCTTCTTCTTTTTTTCTCTGTGTCTCTCTGTCTCAGCCAAAAGCCGACTGCCCACAAGAACTATCAAGGATATGGAGAAGAACATTACTAAACCAGTAGACCCCAGTGAGGTGAAGCCCACTAAAGATCTAGGTCACAAGAAGCCCAAACAATTTGGCAGCCAAAAAGTCCCACAGTCACCAAGAGCCAGAAAGTCAAGACCCCGAGTGGAGGCCCAGACCCCTGCCATCTTGATCCAGGTAGTGGGGAAGGGACAATTCCAGAAGATGGGTGATTCCCTGAGCGTGCGAGCAGGAAATTCCCTGGAGCTTCGATGCCGGGGGAAGTCTGTCCGATGGAGGTTCCCAGTTTATTTGGAAGAGGAAGGAGAGGGGCGACTCAGGTACAGCACTGGGCATGGGGCAGGGGGGAAAGGGACACCAGTATCTTCTGAACTTCTGAACAGGCTCTCCCCAGGAGGTCAGACTATAAGGCATCTCCTAAGTGGCAAAATAGCTTTCCTTCTCTGGCTCCCTTACAGAGGAAACGGTGTGGATTGCTGCTTGAACAAGGCCAAATGCCTGTCTGTTTTTGTGTCCAAGATACTGGGTCTTGGTTCTCTACTCCTTAGCTTTGCACTTCGGGAGGGTTGCCAGCAAGGGTGTAATGGATAAAACTGCTAGCACTGTGAACCTCATATAGCTGGGTAAAGGAACTGGGGGACAGGCTGGGTCATGCCCTCATGGGGCTCCCTAAATCGCTCCTTCAAGGTTTTGTGGTTGTGTGTTTGTTTTTCAGAATCAAGCACTTTACCCAATATAGCCAACTGCTGGTGATGAATTCAACCATTGGAGATACAGGAGAATATAGCTGCTGGTCCCGGCATTGCCAGAATAGTGAGTGTCGGGATGTTGAGGACCGCACGGGGAGAACCTTTGTCTTCTTTACAGGTATGTAAGGCATATAGAATGTCAGAGCTGGAAGGGCCTTAGAACATAGAACACAGAATGTCAGAGCTGCTCTTAGAGTTCTGTTAGTCCAAGTGCCTCACTTTATTTTTTTAGTTAAAAATATTATTATGAATTTGGTATAACCAAGCCCCTCATATGAACATAAACTTAAAATTAATTGTAATTTGATACTTTGGTGAATCTGGATCTTATCAATAGGGCTCCTCCCTTTATTTATATAAATTGCAAGTCATCTATGCCTTATCTTCCCATGTGATTCTTGTCTAGAACCTTTCATAAATCCTCCATGGAGGCCCTACCCCATAGACTGATCCCTTCTTTTAGGCCACTTAATATTTTGTGGCCAGGAACACAACCTTCAGGTTGTCCATCTTTAAACCCCTCCCTCTCCCTCTGTGCCTCACCCACTTTTAGTTAGACACAGCCTTGAAAGTAATCATACTTTGCTTTATACAATCTCTTATGTGCAGGGTCCTCAAAGGTACTTATAGGAAAAAATAAAAACTCTAACAGATTAATAGCAATCCTTGCTCCATTACTACTTTCATGTCCCTTTCATTAGAATCTTTATATCTATAGTTTTTTTTAAGTAATTCTAGTTAACACAGACATTGTTCAAGTCCTGTTTTTTTTTTTTACTTTGTATTTTTATGTGCCTTTACACTTTTCTTTGTATCCTTCATACTTGTATTTTTTTTCCTTTTTGGTGAGGCAATTGAGGTTAAGTGACTTGCCCAGGGTCACGCAGCTAGTAAGTGTCAAGTGTCTGAAGCTGAATTTGAACTCAGGTTCTCCTGACTCCAAGGCTGGAGCTGTATCCACTGGGCCACCTAGCTGCCCCTTCATATTTGTATTTTTATTGACACTCCTATATTCCATTACTCTTACATATCGTGATTTGTTCAACCATTGGACATTTCATTTGTTCTAAATTTTGTGTTATTATAAATAATGTACTATAAATATATTTGGATAAATAGTTCTTTACTTCTTACAAATTTTTTTTGTCATGATGAACTTGACAACCATCAGCAAACATATGCATTGTTTATACAATGAATAGGATAAGTGGACTGTATGCAATACCATGGATCTCTATGATGCATAGCTTACTTAAGAACAAAAAAACAACAACCCTATATTAAAAAGAGTAGTGGCCACACACACTGCTAATTAGTGTCCCCTTTAGAGCTTCTTTCTTCTCTCTTCTATGTGTTTTTTTAAATGTTTCATTGGTGCCCCTTTCTTTCTTTTTTGGCATTATTATCACTACCTCTCCCATTCCTCCCCATCACTCTTCTCCCACCACCACCAAAGAAAATAAAAGCCTTCCTTGAAACAACAACTTGCATTTATGTAGATCAATAAGGTTTGCAAAACACTTTATGAATATTACCTCATTTTAATCCTCACAATAATTCTGGGAGGTAGGTGCTATTACTAACTCTATTTTACAGATGAAGAAACTGAGTCATAGAGAAGTTGAGTGACTTATCCAAGGTCAGGCAACTAGTAAGTGTTTAAGGCTGAATTTGAACTCATATCTTTCTGGTTTCAGGTACAGCTCTCTATCTACTGTATCACTAGCTGCTTCCAGTAGAATATAATCATTTGTTATAACACATAAGTAAATCCAAGCAAAACAAATCCTCACATTGCCTTTGTCTTAAAATTTACGTCCTGTTCTGCATGGCTAGTCTTCACTTCTCTGCCAGGAAGTTGTCTCCTCACTTGACAGATGTGAAGCCTATAGAGGGGAAATGACTTGTCCCAAGACGTACAGGGTGTGTTAAGTGGCAGGGCTAGAGATAGAACCCCGGGGTTTCTGATAGTCCAGCATTCTTTCCACCATGTTTCTGTGAATATTTATTGACTTTATTTAAAGATAACATACAAGACAGTCACACTGTTGAGGGTGAGCACAGGGAATGGGAAGGTAGAGTCATATCTCTGAGAGAATCTTCCAGGATCTCAGGTGGTAGCAGTAAAGCCGGCAGAGCCTTGCTAGAGATGAGTGTCCTGAGACCTCTCAGTTGTTTTCCAATTCTCTCTCCTGCCACCCTCCCACCTCTAGATCCAGAGGAGCTCTTCGTCCCCACTGAAGATTACTACGAAGTGGTCCAGCTTCGGACCAACCAGCCAACTCTGCTGCCCTGCCAAGTGACCAGCCCTGAGGCCCGGGTGACGCTGCACCGGGAGTTCCCCCCTGAGGAGGTCTCTGTAGATGGAGTGGATATCTCCTTTGATGCAAAGAAGGGCTTCACTATACATAGGCCTCGAGCCTCATTTGCTGGCTCCCTCTTCTGCATGGCCAGCCTGGGGGGCATCCGGCAGATCTCTACTAAGTACATCTTGATTTATATCAACTGTGAGTATGTGCATCTGAGGGTAAGGACACAGGGCAGAGGTGGTGTATGGGGCTGAAAAGTGGTGGGGGAGATAACTCTCAGCAAGGGGGCTGGTTAGAGTCATGGATTAAGTAAGGGAGGGTTGATGACTGGGCCTGAGATGGTATAGCAGATTAGGGCAGGGCCTCAGTTTTGGATTTTTTAACCCCAGCTCAATAAGTAAGACTTCTGTCTCAGGGGACTTAATCAGGAAATTCGCAAATGCTACAATTCAGGGTTTGGTTTGTTCAGCTGATTATCTCTATTTATGAAAATGATAGAAAAAACGTTAATGATGCAGATTAAATCTAAAAGTGTGTCTGGCATACATTTCACCCCCAGAAAGCCAGTTGTTAAACATTTACCAGCATATCCCTGGACCTAACAGTTAATGAAGTTTCAACACTTGTCATGTCCTCTGGATAGCCTCTTGTGGATTGGCTCCTTCCGTGTGAGACTCTAAGACAGCTAGGTGGTACAATGACTAGAGTGCTAGGCCTGGAGTCAGGAAGACTCACTCCTCTTTGTGAGTTCAGATCTGGTCTCAGATACTTACTAGATGTATGACTCTAGGCAAGTCGCTTAACCCTGTTTCCCTTAGTTTCCTCATCTGTAAAATGAACTAGAGAAGGAAATGGCAAACTGATCCCAGTATCTTTGCCAACAAGGGTCACAGAATCAGATACAACTAAAAAACGATTCAGCAACAAATTTGAGCCTCTTATAGGCTATAATTATAGCTCATCTCTTGAGTATAATTTTGTATTATTAATCTGTAAATTATTACGTACATTGTTGTATAATTAAGCTATACTTCCTCCCTGTCCCCACTCCTCAATTCTGGCTATGTGTGAGTGTGGTCTATAACTGAATTTTTTTCAGGGTATTCAGAAATGCTGGTTATATGGCATGTTGATATCTATTTGCACACATAGTAAATGACTATGGCAGTCAACTATCTGTGTATAAAGGAAGGAGACTTCTCTATCTCCCCAAGGAAAGAGGACCCAGGCTTTTGGGATGAAGAAAACAAGAGGAGAGTCACAGAAAGGACAGGTTTTAGTTGAGAAAGAAGGTTGGGACTAGCAAGGAGAGAGGATTTGGGGGCCCCAAGGGAGAGTGAACTAACAGACAACTTGGGAAATGATGCTGATGCTGATGCTAATGAAAGGCAACTCATTTATGTCACTTTCTGTCTTTAAGATTTATCCTGGGCTAACGGACCCTAGGAAAAGAAGAGGCTGGGCAAAGTAGATTTTCAGGCTCTTTCTAGTAAGATGTAACTGAACAGGAACAAATGTAAAGACTTGCATTTGCAATTCATATGGAACAGATTTGGAGCTTTTGATAGTCTACAAGCTCAATATAAGTCAAGAATATGATATAGAAACCAAAAAACTAGTATGATCATGCCTGGGTCATAGATCTAGAAGAAAGAAAGCAAGCATTTGTTCACCACCTACTTTGTGCTCAGCTTTTCCTGACTCCAGGCCTAGTGTTTGAGTTGGAAGAGGTCTTTGATATCACCTAGTCCTAGTCTAACTCATTCATTTTACAGATGAGACAATTAAGGCCCAGAGAGATTAAGTGACTAGTTTAAGGTTACAAAGGTAGTAAGAGGCGAGCCAGGATTTGAATGCAGATTCTCTAACTCCCAAGTTCCATGCTCTACTTAGATGGATTTGTCTTCTTCATTGGTACAGATCACAACTCTTCCGTATTTTCTTCCTCTATAATCCTCATCCATGTCCTTCTGTCAATCCATAATGATGATGATGATGATGATGATGATGATAATGGCTAACATTTTGTGATGATTAAAAAGATTTGAGACACAGTTTCTGAGTAATTTAATCATTTTATTAATAAGACCAACCCATTATTAATAAAAGGATGATCATTTGGCCATCTCTCTTAAACCAAAGACAATCATAGTGGTGTGCTCACAGTTTATATACCCTTTGAAGAGCAGGTGTTCAATAAGGAGCTGAGAGTGACATTACGTCACCCTTTGGACAGAGAAACTATCTCTATATTCAGATCACTCCCAGCCTTGGGCTATCTAGACAAAAGGATCTCTCTCCATTCAAGCTAGAGTAGAACACAATGGGCTTCCCCACCTTAGATTAAATTCCTTGTAAGGTTGGGTAGGGTCTGACCAAGATCAGGAATGTTAATTCAATCTCATTATTAGTCATGTCCTTCAAGAGACTGACCTTAAAATCAGGACTTTGGAAGGAGAGAGCTCTGAATCTCCCCAAGATATTGGTTATTATAATTATTTCTATCAACTTATATAGCACTTACCACTCCAGTATCTTTGCCAATAAAACCCCAAATGGGGTCACAGTCAGAAACAAGCGAAAAATGACTCAACAATAACAACATGTGCTAAAATTACAATTATTGTCTCATTTGATCCTCACAACTACTCTGGGGGATAGGTGATAGTATTATCCCCATTTTACAATCCAGGTAAATGAGACAAACAGAGATTAAGTGACTTGCCCAGGGTTACACAGTGTCTGAGGCCAGATTCAAACTTAGCACACCAGAAGCTTTTTCTGATCCTTTTAATATCTCAAGGATGTCAATATAGCCCTTGAGTTGCCCAGTTTTTCTTGTTCATTACCCAAACTCAAAGGGCCTATCTTTTTTTCCCCGTATTTTGCAATATATTTGGTAATATTTTACCAAATTTGCAATATATTGGTAATATTTGCAATGTATATTTGTAGTATATTTTACCCCACTTGTAGGAGTATAGATCTAGAGCTGTAATGATGTCTGATTTTACAAAACTTTACAGGATCTTGCACTTCACAAATGAGCAAATTGGGGCTCATAGTGGTCAAATGACTAGCCTGATGACTTATACAGCTTGTAAGTGGCAGAGGTGGGATTTGAACCCAGGTTTTCTGACTCTAGGTCCGTTGCTCTTTCTCTGGTATGACATAGTCCTCACCCACAATTCACTGTTGGTAACACTGTAGTGTGCCCATATTGCATCTTTCCATTGCCTTTTGGTTATCTGCAATTTTGAGATCATGGTATTCCATGATTTGCAGCTAGATCACATGTGATCTTAGGTGGTATTAATAGGATCATAGATTTAGAGCTGGAAGGGACTTTAGAAGTCATCTAATCCAACCCCTTCATTTGACAGATGAAAAATAGAAACATCACATCTTTCAGAAGATAGATGATAGTTCCTTCTGCTCCAATCATATGGGATCACATATTTAGAGCTAGAGACCTTAGAGGTCGTTGAGTCCAACCTCTAATTTTACAGATGAGGAACTGAGACCTAGGGAGGTTAAATGACCCATCCCAAGTCACAGAGCTTTTAAGTATCTTAGGTAGGATTTGAACACTGGTCTTCCTGAATCTGAGCCAAGCACTCTATTACTGAAGTATTGTGTCCCTTGAGGGCTCTACATTTTGAGATAAACTGACAAGATAGAACACATTCAGAGGAGGGTAACCAGGTTGGAGGACACCTTGAAACTACGTCATAAGAAGATAGGTTGGAAGAAATGGTTGTGTTAACTTGGGGGTGGATGGGTACAGTAGATAGAACTCAGAACTTGGGGTCAGGAAGTCCAGAATTCAAATCCTTCCTCAGGCACTTACTAGTTATGGGACCAAGGGCAAGTCCCTCTCAGACTGTTGGCACATCTGTAAAATGGGGATAATAAAAGCACATAGCTTATATGGTTATCTTAAGGATCAAATGAGCTAATACATGTACAATGCTTTGCAACCTTAATGTACTTTATAAATGCTAGATATTATTATTGGAGAAATCTTTGGCAGGTTGTGATGACAGCAAATATTTTGCATGTCTCCAGAGGGTAGAATTGGAACAATGAGTACCAATTATTGGAAGGAGATTTCAGATCAGTATAAGGAAAATTTTCCTATCAGAACTGCCTAAGACTAGAATGAGCTATCATATAAGGTAGTGAGTTCCCTATCACTGGATGTCTTTAAGCAGAGACTAGATGAACAGCTCCTCTGAGATGTGGTAAAGGATATTCCTGTTCAGGGCCCTCTGAGGTTTTTGCCAACTTTGAGGTTTAGAATGAAGAATACAGGAAATTAGATTCAAGGGTATCAATCAGATGGCTTTCCTGGTCTGGACAAAACTGGTCTCCATGTCTACTCTCTGTGCCTAGTGCTATCTAAACTGCAAATAATTTGTAGCAATGTTATTCTCAAAGCCATTTTTATCGTACTCTCTGAGGACCAAGACTGAGAGTATGGTGTTGTCCTGGGCTGATGATCACTATAATTGGGGATCCTGCAAAGAAAGCATAGAGGAAGAGGGTTCCAGACTTCAAGCTGTGACAGAACCTGGATGGATCGATAAGCCCTGGGGTGGAGGGGAGGGAGATGGCAGTGGCAGGCTCTAAGCTAAGGGAGGCCTAGAGCAAAGTGAAGGTCAGAAGGGGAAGGAATCCAGGAATTAAGCGTAGAATCAGGAATCAAAGAGGACAGTTGGGACATGTTGGCAGTAACAGAAGGCTAGGCTCACTTAACTGGCAGCTGAAATAGTTTGCTATTCTAGCTTCCAAAGAGGTCCCACAGCAGCTGCTCAGGGAGCCTGATCTGAAACTTGCAAGTGGGTCTAATCGAAAATAATCAGCCAGGTAGCCAGGCCGGATAATAATAGCCGCTTCCATTTCAGTGGCATTTTACAACTGACACAGTACTTTATTCATCATGACCCTGTGAGGGAGATAGTTTGGGGATCTTTGAGGCATTGAGAGGCTAAGTAGCTTATACATGATCACACAGTTAATGGTAAAAGCTAAGACTTAAACTCAGGGGTCTTGACTCCAAGCCCACTACTCATACTGTCCTCTCCTGGGGGTAAGGCACAGGGGCGAAGTTCTTGAAAATTGGAGTTAGATAAGAAGCTCCAGAGGTATCTAGTCCAACCCTCTGTCTCTAGACCTTCCCAAATACTTGGGTCCCTTTCCTCTACTCATCTACAGTGGAAGTCTTGATTCTTTCTAACGTCCTCACACATGGAGACCTGTCAGTCTGTTGGATTCTCAACCCTACCTGTCCATCCATCTTTGTCAGCCAACCATGCCACATTGTGTTCATTGTATGCCTAGAACTAAGACTTGAACAACGGAGATTTCTTTTCTCCCCTGTGCTGCCCCCTGCAGACCCATCATCCTCTCCCAGACCCACCATCAAAGCCTCAGCAACCTCTGTTTTCTTGGGAGAAAATTTCAATGTGACCTGCACTGCTCTGGGAGAACCTGAGATCACTGTGGACTTCACTTGGGAGTATCCAGGGCAGCTGGTAAGTGGAAGAATGCGAGAGGGCAATACTCAGAAGTCAGGGCAGACAGGGAAACCTGGGTGGAAGCTTTGTGGCATTCAACATGGTGATGAAGACGGAGTAGGCAGTAGGAGATCTGGGCAAGGAGGTCAGGAGGGGCAGCAGGGGTTTGCTAGGAGCAATTACAGTCACTAATTTACAGCATGACCTTCTCTACATTGAGCCCCAGTTTTCTCATCTCTGAAATGGGGATAATATTGCCTGCCCTAGCTATCTCAGAGGGGTGCTATGAGGAAGAAATTAGCCATTCAACAAGTGTTTACTGAGTACCTGCTATGTGCTTATAGCATCCTCTACTAGGTGTTGGTGGGGGAAGATACAGTCTCTGTCCTCATGAGAGAGGGAGAGAGAAGGTTACTCTCTCTAGTAGAAGAAATATAGCTAACACACATAAGCAAGAAGAGAGGTGGGGAAAGGGAAAGAGGTGAGGAGAGAGAAGCTAACTCTTTAACTGAGGCAATATATCTAACACCCATAAGAGAGAATGGGAGGGGAAAGGAAAAGAGAAGAGAGGGAGAGAAGCTTACTTTCTGGCTAAGGAAACAGAGCTAACATATGTATGAGAAAGGAAGAGGGGGATGGAAGAAAGGGAGAAAAGGGGAAAAAGGAAAGTGAGGAGAGAGGGGAGGGATAAAGAGAGGTAGAAGATAGCGAGAAAAGTGGCAGGATGGAGCAAAGGGGATGGAGGGAAGGAAAAGGAGGAGAGAGGGGGACAGGGACAGGGAAAGCTAACCCAGTGTTACTAACTAGGAATGTTATAGGTGATCAGAAAGAGGGAGAAGAGATATCAGGGTAGACTGGAGACTTCAGGGAGAGTTGCCTAGAGAAGGAAGGGCTTAATCTGGGTCTGGAAAAGATTTGGACAAGCAAAGGAGAAATAAATCAGGCAACCTGAGCAAAGGCAGGAAGGTGGCAATAAGCAGAGAGTTACATGGAAGACACTGAGGAGATAATATTGACTCATATAGAAGAACCATGTAGGGCAATACTGGGGGCAAGTTTGGAAACCTAGGGTGGAGCCTGAGGTATGATGGAGAACCTTAAATTCCAGGCTGAGGAGTTTATATTCTATCCTGTGGGCAATGAGGAGTCAATGGAGATTTTTGAACAGAGAAGGGATGTGTTCAGATCTAAGCATTATGGGGGATAATGTAGGCAGTTCATGCAGGTTGGACCAGAGGCTAAGAGGCCAGAAAACTGGTTAGGAGACCACTGACCTTCAGAAATGAGACCAGCTATGAAAATTACCAACTGGAAAACAAATGAAAAAAAATGGAATTACTATTCTGATTCTAGCTATAGAAGCAGCATGATGCAGTGGTTAGAGCGAAGGACTTAAAGTCAGGAAGACCTGGGTTCCAATTTCTACTCACTGTTTTACCCTGAACAAGTCACTTAACCTTGACGTGTCTCAGGCAACTCCTCAAGACTTAAACTAAGTTAAAGACAGGTTTGTTGTTATTGTTTAGTCATTTCAGGCATATCTGACTCTTCTTGACTCCTTTTTGGGGTTTTCTTGGCAAAGATACTGGAATTGTTTGCCATTTCCTTCTCTAGTTCATTTTGCAGATGAGGAAACTGAGGCAAGTAGGGTTAAGTGACTTACCTAAGGTCACACAACTACTAAGTGTCTGAGGCACATTTGATCTCAAATCTTCTTGACTCTGGCACTCTATCCTACTAAGGACAGGTTACAATCTACATTTTGGTTGGAGTTTCCACATCAGAAATATCCTACATCATCAATTCTCAAACTTTTTGGTCTCAGGATCTCTTAAATTTTTTTGAAGACTCCAAAGAATTTTTGTTTATGTGGGTTGTACTCATTGATATTTACTGCATTTGAAATAAAAACTGATAACACTTTAAAATACTTATTTATTCATTAAAATAACAATAAACCCATTACTTCTTAACAGAAATAACATCTTTTCACAACCAATAACTATATTTTTGGAAAAAAATTTTTAATGAGAAGAGTGGCATTATTTTGCATATTTTTGCAAATCTACTTAATGTCTGGCTTAAAAGAAGATACCTGGTTTCTTACATCTACTTCTGTGTTCAATCTGTTGTGATGTGTTTGCTTTGGTTGAAGAATATGAAGAAAATCTGGCCTCACAGATATGTAGTTGGAGAGCAACATATTTTAATAGACAAATTATGTCATAATATTATTATGAAAATAGTATTGAAGTCAGGAACCCCCAGTGGTCAAGGACCATACTTTGGGAACCACTGCCCTACACTGACAGAATCATAGGTCTTCCTGTTTTTCAGATTTGTAGCCCAACAATGAGGAGAGGAGAAAATGCAGTTCAATATCATGCTCACAGCTCAGGAGACTTTTCAGTTGATTTAGGCAGCTAGGAGACCAGCTGGATAGTGTTGGATTTGGGAACCAGGAAGACTTGAGTTCAAATTCTGCCTCAGACACTTACAGTGTGACCCTGGGCATTTCACTGCTCCTTGCCTCAGTTTCCTTATCTGTAAAATTAGGATGACAATAACATTTACCTCACAGGGTTGTTATGAGGATCATATAAGAAAATATATGCAGTGCTTTGCAAACCTTAAAGAGCTATATAAATGCTAGTATTATTTAAATGCCCTGTGCCCATGTGTTCTTAAAAGCTAAGCATCCTCAATAAGAAGCAGTCTGGTAGGTGGGGTAAGACCCAGACCCATTTCTTCCCATTCCTCCCTTGTACCATACTGCCTCCTCCTACTCAAACTTAAGGGAGGCTCAGCATATTTGCAAAGTTTTGATTTTTGTTGTTGTTCAAATGTTTCAGTCATGTCTGACTCTTCATGATTCTATCTGGAGTTTTCTTGGCAAGAATGGTTTGCCATTTCCTTCTCCAGCCCATTTTACAGATGAGGAAATGGAGGCAAACGGGGTTAAGTGACTTGCCCAGGTTTATACAGCTACTAAGTGACTGAGGCTAGATTTGAACTCAGGTCTTCTTGACTCCAGACCCTGAGTTCTATCCACTGCACCATCTAGTTTTCACTAGTAGAGCCTTTAACTTTAACCAGAACATTCATGTCCTTAATCTCAAAATAACCCTCTAGAAGTAGCAATAATATTAAATTTTTAAACCTCCATTTTCCAAGGTTGCATAGTCAGGTAGCAACAGAACCAGGACCAGAATAGGGACTAGAAATCAACAATCTTTCCACTAAATGATTTCATTCAATGTGACGTTTAAGGATGTCAGAAGCCCCTTGGAGATGAAAGAGATAGAACTAAAGGCAGCTGTTGGGGATGGTGTTGGAGGTGTGAAAGAAGGGTTTTTGTTTTTGTTTTTTGTGAGGCAATCGGGGTTAAGTGATTTGCCCAGAGTCACACAGCTAGTTAGGTGTCAAGTGTCTGAGGCCGTATTTGAACTCGGGTCCTCCTGATTCCAGGGCCAGTGCTCTATCCACTGTACCACCTCGCTGTCCCAGGAAGGGTTTTTGACTGATGCTATTCTATACCCTCTCCCCACCACAGGTGGGTCGGCCACCCTATGTCAGTGAATGCTCTACTGTGGTGCGCAGAGCTGGCCAGGTACAGCAAGAATGGGAGAGTGTCTTCTACGTAGAGGAGGCCCGAGCCAAGGACCAAGGCATCTATACCTGCAGAGCCACAAACCTTCAAGGTACCTCGACAGCCAGCACCCGAATTCGAATTCTCCAGCCCTCACAGATCCTGGTTTCAACAGACAAGGCTGGTGACCATTAAACTCCCTCTTTCACTGAATGGCCCTGACCTCAGGGCACCTGGAGAGTGAAAGATATATACCAATGTAGGCTGCCACATTCAACTACTCCTGTATTCAGAGGATAGATTGTCTTTCCTCCAGTAGTGTGGTCTCCAATTTCTTTCCGCTAGGCTTGCTGTAGGTAATCTTTATTCTAGCCACTAGACCCAGGCTCCCAACCCCCAGCCCCTCCAAACACTGCCTCAGTCCCTAAGTCCCAGCCCCCAACCTCCTCGCCTAACTGGAACCATCCATTCCCCTCCCCCTCCATTAGTGCTCCCAGGCTGGCAAATATCTAATCCCCCCAAGGCCTCAAAAAATCTTGTGGGAATGAAGCTCAGGAGCTGAGCCCTCACCATTCAACTTGACCCTGCAGTAGTTGTCCACCCTCATTCTACTCCTGCCCACCCCATCCCGAAGATAAAGATGGAGGCCAAATAAAGATGCTGCACAATCTTTTTTTATTTCAAAAATTTTTATTTCAATTTTTTTTCAAAACCTTTCATCAACAGCTCACTGTAGCCTGTACTACATGCACTGATTCACCTGCATGCATAACACACCTTTCACACGCACACATACACACACACACACCATTCACACACACACATGAGAGTGCTACCTGAAGGGAAGTGCAGGATTCAGATCAAGATCTGGGGCCATGGTTCACAACCTTGGCCCCTTTCCAAGGTATTCCCCTTGCAAAGTGCTCGAGCATCCTCATCTTCCCTCTAGGACCCAGACATAGTCTGGGTAACACTGTAGGTCCATAGAGGAGTGAATTTCAGAATTATAGACCTCCAAGGAGGTTAGATGTGGAAGGGTCCTGAGAGATCATCTAGTCAAAGGATTATATAAAATCACAGAACTTGAGCTAAAAGGGACCTTAGAGATCTAGTCCAATCTCTTCCTTTTAGAGATGGGGAAAATGAGCCCCAAGGAGCCAATGTAGTGGAAAGAGCACTGGGAGGCAGGAGACCTGGGTTCTATTTCCCAACTCAGCTACTCACTCCCTGTTCAACATTGGGCAGGGCCTTTCCTGTTCTTGAGCCCCCTCCCCCTCCCCCTTTAGCTCTGATTTTGTCTGCCCAAAGTCACATAGTGAGTGAATGGCAGAGAGAGTGCTAGCTGCTCTCAAATTTACAGACTTGGAAAGGAGGGCAAGTCAAAAAGGAAGAGGAGGAGGGAAGAAGAGAAGCACCAGGAGAGTAGGTCCCAGCTTTCCTCAGCTTTGAAGGAAAAGAAATCTCCAGCTGCCAAGAAAGTGCAAGGGACAGCCTGGTATTTCATCTTTCCCAGGAACTGAGCCCTGATTGGAGCATAGAGAAAGCAGGGACCCAGGCTAGAGTAGGAGGCCCAGGAAGGGGCAAGGTAGAAGTAGGGGGAGGGGGTGGGCCAGGAAAGGGGTTGGGTCTCCTTTAGTTTCACACCTGTGGCCCTAATCTTGCTTTTTGGACCTGTATCAATTCAGCTGAGGAGGATTAAGGAAGGGTAGTTGGACGACTGAAAATCAAGGGGCTTGGCAGGAGGATTTCCCTAATCCAGGGGATTCTGCATCATTTTTGGGTATCCAGACAAAGAAAAATGATCGATGAGCTGGAGGGTGGTGCACTGCCTCAGTATCACCCCTAGACGGCTGGGAAAGAGAAGTTGGGGTGGAGGACTTGGGATCAAGATATGGTGGGTGTGACTAGACCCTCGGGGCTACAGGCCAATGATGGGGACTGCTGAGGATCGTGCCCCATGGAGAGGGAAGGAACAACAGTGCGCTGAGCCCTAAACAACGGGCTTGCTCTGTAATGGGTCTAGCCTCTGAGATTCGGGAGGCCTACTCCCTTCTTTCTCTTGTTCCTCTGTTTCCCCCTGGGGGAAGGGGAACTTTGACAGGACAAAGAAGATAGGACATATCTGCTTATGAGGCCGAAGAGCAAAGAGAATAGGAGGCCTTTAACCTCCAAGGATCAGAAAAAAAGGCCCAGCCCCCTCTTCACTCTGAACTTGCAGATGCCACTAGGAGAAGAGTGAATACACATCCTCTGTCTAAGCCCTTTACTTTACCAAGAAGAAACCTGAGACTAAGAGAAGGGCAGCCGCTTGCTTGCGGTCACACAGTGAGTCTGGGGCTGAGCCAGGATAGGAATCCAGGAGTCAGCTCAGCACTCTTTCCCCTACACAAGCTGCCTCTAAAGAAAAGCTCCCTTTCCTGCCTCCTACTGTCCGTCAGGAAAGGTTTAGTCTGGCTTCAGGGGAAGTCCCTGGGCTGCCTATAATGGCAGAGAACAGCCCGTGGCAGCAGCTAGCAGGGCCATTGGCCCGTGGCAGCAGCTAGCAGGCCATTGGCCTGGAGAAGGGAGGTCTTCCTGATCATTCCATTTCTCCTGTCCACTGGCCCTCCTTCAACATCCCCACAGCTCGAGTTCCCAGGCTACGTGGCAAGGTAGGACACTTTAGCAGAGGTCAGCGGAAAGGCTGCTGGGGAATCGCTGGTGACAAGCCGATATAACAGCTCTTCTTTCTCCTGTTGGATCTGTTGACGAAGCTGTGACTCTTTCTCCAGGGCCTCACGGACAAGAAAAAGGTCCTCTGAAAGCTGCCTGTAGGACACAGACCCCAGAGGCAAATATTGGGGTCTGTGTCCTACTGCAAGTTGTTCTTTTTGAATAGTGGACGCTGGCCCGTCACCTTTGGGTAAAGGCAGCTCAGGACACAGGAAAAGGACTCCTAACTCTCTCAGCTAATCCCTCATTTCCTTGCCCCCCATCCATTAAAAAAACACCTCAATTTTCTATGACAACAACTTATAGTATATGAATGTGATAGAATACTATTGTGCTGTAAGAAATAATGGAGGGGATGGTTTCAGAAAAACCTGGGAAGACCTATATGAACCGATGGAAAGGTAAATGAGCAGAACTAGGAGAACAATCTATTTAGTAACAGCAGTACTGTAAGGATAATCCATTGTGAAATATTTAGTAACTCTGATCAACACAATTCCAAAGGACTCATGATGAAAAATGCTATTCGCCTTCACCTGATGGACTCAGTAAAGATTTAAGGATATTTTTTCTTCTTTCTTTTTTATTTTTCTTTTTTTCTTCCTTTTTTTTTTAATATGACTAATCTGGAAATTTGTTTGCATGACTATACATACAATTGGGTTTGCCTTCTCAAAAGGTGGGGGAAGGGAGGGGGAAAGAGAATTTGGAACTGAAAAAACAAAGGAATACAAGTTTCTTTGCTTAAAACAAAACAAACAAAAAACAAAACCCACTCCAATTTCTAAAGTCTTCTCCAAGGAAACCTTCCCTAACTGACCCTGTCTACTCCAATGATGTTTCAACATGGAGCTATGTAGTTTATGTACTTCTTTGTAGGGTATTCTTATAGCTTTCTTACCAATGTCCTCTAAAATATATTTATATACCTTCTTCTTCCTCTGGATTCTGTCCATCTTCCCCCTTAATACCCCCCATGTCCCCCCAGTGCCCAGGATAAAGTTCTGCTCACTCACAGACTCATAGTATGTCAAAGGTGAAGGGGCCTTAGAAATTATCTAATTTAACCCCTGACATTTTTAGAAATGGGAAAACTGAACCCTAGAGGGGGAGATGACTTGTCTAGGATCTAGGGTTACACATAGAGTCTTTGGCAAAGCCAGGATCAAGAAGACAAGTCCATAGCACTGACTGGCAAAGCACAGGTGGGCTTAGAAAGGTGAGATGCTCCAATTCTGAGACTCCCAGGAAAGCTGGCAAATCACATAGCCCCTGGAAATGCCTCCTGATCTTGACTACACCAGCCCATTTGCATGACTCTCACTTCGTTGCTTAGAAAGGGAAGGTAAGAATTCAAAGGTAGGGATGTGGTTACCTTGATACCCGTTGGTGGTTCCGACCCCGAACCTGAAGCTCCTCATTCTCCTGCTGCAGTACTGTAATTTTCTCTTCTAATGACAGGTTCTTCTCTTTCTGTAAAACATCAGAAAGAAAGAGAACAAACACCAAATGAGGTCCAACGATGGTCTATTAAAAACATAAATGCAGACCCCCAGCTCTCTGTTATCTGAAATAATGGCCAAATGAGTGGTAACAAATCAGATGATTTTCCCAAATTCGTCTTAGGCAAAACCTCTGTCTGATCAAACCTTTCACTAAAGTAGCTAGCAGATACAGAGTGGTTTACCTAGAATCACCTTCTATCTCTCAGAGATAGAAGGACTTCAAAGAAAAATACAGTCTGATCTCTATTTGAACAGGAAGCCTTTTTTTTTTAAGCATTTCCTCCCTTCAATTCCCTGAACCACTTTGGCATGGAAAGACAGGGTGCTTTTGTTCTGGTCTCACCCAGAGACAGGTTTCCCTATAACCCTCTAGTTTCCTTCTGGCTATGGTGGTAGAGTGAAACCATGCGTAGCCTTGGGGTCAGAAGGCCAAAATTCCATTCTTGGCTTGGCTACTAACTTACTATATGACTTTTGGAAGTCATTTCTCTTCTGTGGTATCAATTTTCCGTATAAGAAGGGTCCTGGATTACATGGTCTGGAAGATCCCTTCCAATCCTCAAAGTCTGTGAGCTCTGTCAGAGCAAAAAGCCCCTGTGGCAGAGGGACAGGATGAGAAGGTAGGGGTATGGCAAGTTACATAAGGAAAGGGAAGACTAAAGACATAACAGAGAATCCTTGACCTACCACTGTTTCCATTTGGATCAACCTCCTATCCAGTTCATGGATACGTTCATTCTTCATTTCAATGACAAAGTGCAGGCTCTCCAACTCCTGCTCCCAAAATTGGCTGGGGCTCCCATAATCCTAGACAGAGAAGTACAGATAAAGTCCATTCACATGTCCCTTCATTGAACAGGACTGGGACTTGTCACTATGCTCTTGGGCAAATTAATGTAGCCTTTCTAGACCTTGGTTTCCTCATCAATAAAAATGGGAGATTAAGTCATCCAGGTCTTGCTTACAGAGGTGTTTGGGGGAACCATCAATAATGTTGGGTCCCTCCTTCACCCATAAAGGAGTGACACATTGGGCCTGCCTTGGATATCTGTGACCTCCTTCCACATCTTCCTTCAGATATCACAGAATATCTGAATCAAAGAATCTTAAGAGTTAGAAGGAATCACATCTAGTCCAATCCCTACCTGAGTTAAGAATCAATCCTCTCTACAACATCTCTGACAAGTTCATCCATCCACATTCCTCTCTTTGAAAACCTCCAGGGGAGGAGGAATTCAATACCCTCCAAGATAGCCCATTCCACTTTAGGGCAGCTATTATTAGGATTTTTTATTATTACTAATGGATTTTGTTTCAAAATATAAATATATGTAATTTATATATTAACTTTGAGTATATATTATGAATATGTAGTAGGTTAAATAAAACTATAATTGAATTGTTATTCCCATTTGTATTATTACAAAGCATTTCATAATTCTTCAGCCAAAATCTGCCTCTCTGCCACTTCTACTCAGTATTCCTAGTTCCCAAGCTAGCATGTCTTCTTCCCCTAAGTATTCCCTTTCCCAGACTAAACATTCTCAATTCCTTCAACCAATCCTTGATTTTCAACAAGGTTTTCAGTTCTCTCACTGTTATGGTTGTCCTATAGCTAGTTAATGTTCCTCCTAAAATGTGGTACCCAGTACTGGACACCACACACTAGATCTAAGCTGTGGCTATGATAAGGGCAAAGAGTGGGAGAAATGATCACTTCTCTTGTCCTGGACATCTTTGGATTTTCTAAAAACCCAAATACACCGAGGATTAAGGCCACTATATTCATAGGGTCCTACCTGGATATGTTTCTTATAATCTCTACTCAGGATAGATTCCTCTACTCTTTTCATCTTGGCTTGGAAGACCTCCATCTGAGAAGTTAGTCCATCTATGGTCTCCTGGAGGGTGGGAAAAGAAATGGGTTTTAAAGAAGGGAGCCAAGAAAAAATGTGATTGAAGGCTATACAGCGGTCAGTGGATGGATGGGGAGAGGGGTGTCTTCTCCCTTCTTTCAGTTTCTTCCTTTCCAGTTTATCCTTCATAGGCTGCCAAATTCAGCTTTGTAAAGTGGACTTCTGGCCCCTTCATTCTCCTGCTCAAAGACTTTACACAGTTCCCCATAGACTACAGAAGAAAGTCCAAACTCTTCAACCCAGAATTTGCTGTCCTGACTTTCCTCTTCAATCTCTTCTGCAAGAACCCTACATTTTAACCTTTTCTACCAACTACACTATACATTTAATTCTATTCCTTGATCATCTATCTTTTCCCTAGAATTTCCTTCCCACTTCTCCCTACTCATCCTTTAAGCCCCAGTTCAACTCCCACCCCTTCCAGGAAGCCTTCCCTGATGACTCCAACTCTCAGTGACTTCCTCTTTCCCCAGATCCTTTAGCACAAACTAAAGTATTGTATTGTTCCCTAAGAGTTGTGTTTGTCTTTTCTCCCTAGTTGATTCCTTGAGGGAGAGGCAATGTGGGAGTACTAGTCAGAACAATGGATTTAGGGTTAATTCCAGTCTTAACTCTGCAACATTGACCACTTCAATCCAATCTAACAGACATTTTTCAAATGTATGCTCTCCATCTGCCAGGCATTACACTAGGTGTTGGAGATTAAAAAGATAAAAATGAAACCCTTCCTCTCCCCATTACATTTATATTCTACTGGGGAAAAGCAAAATGTACACAGATGAGCAAATGCAAGGTGATTTGAGGAGGGAGAGAGAAGTACAATACATTTCTAAACAGTTAAGCAGGTCAACTCTTAAAATTTTTTAGGTCTACAAAAGTTTCATCAGTTCCCAAAATTCAGTTTTGCCCAACAACACTTTATAATAATATTTGATCTAGACCTCTTGTTCAACAATTCAACAAACATTTGTCCTCAGTGTCCATACCTGTGAACTGGTAAAAATGATTATCAAGCATCCTCACCCATATGCCTTGACTTTAAGGCATGCTGGGATTGAGATGTGTCAAGTAGTCTTCCAATGTCAAAATTGTAGAAGTTTCCTAATGGTATAGATCTTTTATGATCTTCAGGGGACTTTGGGAGATCTTAGTTTAACCCCAGTCACCACTGAGAATAATGGTGGAACACCTTCAAATTCCTGGGGCATAGCAGATCTGCACTTTTTCTTCTTCTTTTTCTGTTTAAAATTTTATTTATTAATTTTGAACTTAAATATAAAAAGGCAAAAAATATTTTCATGTATATAGCGCAACATAAAAGAGGATTCAATATAAAACCATGAATTTCCATTTTATATTGTTTACTTTAAAAAAACTATGTAATAAATACTATACATCATTTTCAAAGCTATCCTGCTTTTCTGTGCTTCCTTCTAAGTTTTTTTTTTATTCTCTACTATGCATTTTTAATCTTTTCCTCTCTCCCTCCCCATCCTGCCCTAGAGAGGGCTACTATTACATAAGTATGTCTACATATACACATATGTATATGAATTTATGCATTTTGTTATTATTTTTTCTAGCTCAGTAAAACTTTTTTTGGTAACTTAATTGGGATGGCATTGAACAAATAGATTAATTTATGTAAAACAGTCATTTTTATTATATTGACTCTGCCTACCTATGAACAATTAATATTTCTCCAATTATTTAAATCTGACTTTATTTGTACAAAAAGTGTTTTATAATTATGTCCACATAGTTCCTGGGTTTGTTTTGTTAAGTATATTCCCAGGTATTTTATACTGTCTACAATTATTTTAAATGAGATATCTCTTCTTGCAGGGTTTCATTGGTGATATATAGAACTGCTGGTGATCTATGTGGGTTTATTTTATATCCTGCTACTTTGCAAAAGTTGTTGTTTCCACTAACTTTTTAGTTCAATCTTTAGTATTTTCCAAGTATATCATCCTATTGTCTCTCTGCATTATTTTGTAATCCACAGATGGGTTAGGTTTCTGTGGTCATTTCCAGTTTACTCCATATAACTGAATCCAAAGAATTTAAGTATCTGTTTTTAGCAAGAAATTAAAGTATTTTTTAGCAATTTCAGTGAAAATAGAAATTGCTCCCAAATTTAAATTATGACAAAAAATAAAAAGTCAGTAATAAGAACTCTGACTTCATTTCTCTAAGTCTCAGTTTTCTCATTTGTGAATAACTTTATGATCTCATTAATGCAGGTAAACCCCCCAGTAATGCAGATTGTAGCCCATCCATATCTTCTTTACTATGTCCTCTATAAGTTCTTCATTGGGAGTCCATGTAGCTTATTAGGAGGCTTCCTCTAAGTCTCTTGACATTAAATATTAATGTCATACATGGACTATCTGTTCAAAATGACCACATTCCTAGCCCATCTCCTTCACTTCTGGTGCTATATCTCTCATGATTTCTCTTATGTCCATTTTTTCGCATGCAATTTAGTGTTGGTTAATATGCTACTGTGTATTTGCCTCCCCATTATTTGTCTTTCCATTTTCCTTTGGTGACCCATGATTCTGATCCCCAGTGATTGTGGTATTCTATGAGTTATAGCATATAACATCACCCGAGGAATGTTACTGTTAAAAAGATGAGTTTTTATTTCAGGTAGAAATTTGTCTATCTGACGAGGGGTCACTGAGAGCGTTAAGAAATCTCCCAAATGCATTCTAGCTGGTTCTCCTCCTCTTCAGTTTATTGTCATCTGTAGCATTTGTTCAAGACATATGAACTTATGGACCGTTCCTCCAACAACATAACATAGGCTAGAGACAATATGCAGTCTTCACCCTCTTGATTTTTCCTTTATAGATCATTAAGTCAAATTTCTTTGAGTGGTGGAATAGATTTTATTTAGTAGGCTGTATAATATTCTGGGGCTTGTTTCAATGAGTTCAATATTATCCATAAACAGAGGAACTCATCCTCTATATGGAATCCCTCTTTCATTTAGACTCTGAATTGGACATTCTATGTGATAGTGGCAACCAACTTAAGTGAGCATGCTTATCCCTGTTTTAGGCCTCTCTTGGGCAATGACCATCAGCGTCATAGAGCAAGGTTATTTCTGTTGTCGAGAATTCTGAAGAATCTTTTATGATCTTGGCATATCCTTTTTGGAGGAGAGTGGTATTTTGTACTACCATGTCAAATGCTTTTCTGTAGTCAAGGAACTATAAGCACAGTGGAATTTTGCATTTTCTGCACCTTTCTACCAACTGTACGAGTACAAAGATGTGCAAACAGCTGCCTGTTCCCTTCTCATATTGCCATTAAGAATAGCCTTGATATAAAGATATACACAGATAGGTGCATTTCGTTCAGTTGTTTCAGTTGTGTCTGACTCTTTATGACCCCATTTGAGGTTTTTTTTGGCAAAGGTATTAAAGTGGTTTGTCATCTCCTTCTCCAGCTCATTTAACACACGAGGAAATTGTAGTTTCCTCATGTAGTAGTAAAGTGAATTGCCCAGAGTCACAAAGCTAGTAAGTGTCTGAAGCCATATTTGAATTCAGGTCTTCCCAACTTCCAGGCCTGGTGTTCTATCCACTGCACTACCACCTAGCTGCCTGGATAGATGTATAAATACACATAAACATACATCTATAGATGCACACAATTATATATGTATAGTTGAACTTAAATGTGTGTGTATACATATGTATGCCTTATATATAGTATGTATATTTTATATGTATATATGTATGTATATATACATATATAACACACATACATATACATATCAGCACTTGTGGTAGCAAAGAACTGGAAACTAAGTAGTAGATGCCCATCAATTGGGGAATGGCCAATGAAATTGTGGTATTTGAATGCAATGAAATATTATTATGCCGTAGAAAAAGATGAAGGCAAAGAATTCAGAGAAACTAGGGAAGATTTGTATGCTGTGATCTAAAATAAAGTGAACAAAACCAGGACAATAATTTATACAATGACCACATCAAAGTGAAGGGGCACAATATGGAAATACAACAGAATTTTAACTCGTGTGGTGGCCAACTATAACTTCCGTGTCCTAACAATGAAGCACGCTGTCTTCCTCTTTCTTGTGTCACGCAAATCAATCCCTCAGTGACCTAGAAAATGTCATGCTAGACCCTATCTATATTTACTTAGTCTGATCCAACCATTCTTCCTAACTTTATTTTCTTTAAAGTCATTTCTACTGCTTCATGCTAGACATCACATAGTTATTAAGGCTTCCCTACCTTTTATGGAATAAATAGTTTGCAGGAGAAACCTTGATGGAGCTGTACCATTCATGCTCTATTTCATCCCTCAGGTTAACAAGTTTTCTACAAACTCATTTTCTTCCCACCATTTTTTGCTATTTTATTGAGTAATTGTTTTGATAATCTTCCTTGAGCCTCTTCCAATCTGTTTTACAAATGAGTCGTATTTGAAACCAATACGTCCTTTGCTATCAGCTCTTTTCACTTGACAGAGAAATCAGTATTTGCCAAGTGAGGCTCTTTTGGCCTCATTGCTTTACAATGGTTCTGGAACTTCTGGAAGAAATGGTGAGAGTTAAAACAACTAATGAACTAGGCCATTTCACATTTTGGTAAGCATCAAGAGTTTATTTAAATGGGTCATGTTGGACTTGTCTTAATGTGCTCTATTTTTTTTGTTTTTATTCTTCTTATCTCTCTAATTAGAATAATAATGCTTATAAAGTTTACCTCACCTGGATATTGTAAAGAAAATTCATGAAATTTTAATTCAATTATTGTCATTATTGTTAAAATTTTGATAAATTTGTGATCTCAACCATGTGATTACACAAGCCATCTGTACTAATTGTAACCCATCTACCATTTTTTTTTTCTAATTATGATCCAAATTGCTCCCTACAGCAAAAATCTGTCTTTCAAATACCAACATTCTTCTGGGGGTACCGCAAGAATACAAATTATAGG